TAATGCCGAAACAGACCGACTCTTTGGCCTCGTCCAAATGGCTACAGATTCGTTGCTACAGCAGATCCCCTCCGCAGAGATCGTGATCCTCGGCAATTTTAACGCCCATCACACCGAATGGCTTGGTTTACGTTTAACCGATCATGCGGGGAGATCTGTTCACGATTTTACCTTGGCATATGATTCTGACACAACTGGTTACTTCGCCTAAGCGGATTCCAGATGTGGAGGATCATGCTCCTTCTCTGTTGGACCTTATACTGACCTCTCACCCGGACGGATGTCAGATTTCCGTCGATACGCCTTTAGGCTCCTCGGATCATTGTCTTGTCCGGAGTGTGGTGCCACTCACGCTGAAATCGCAGTTGCATTCTGCAGGCTGCCGGTGTGTTTGGTACTATAGGTCAGCCGATTGGGATAGGATGCGGTCTTTCTTTGCATCCTACCCTTGGGGGCGGGTTTGCTTTTTGCCGGATGATTCCAACGTTGTTGCGGATTCTGTCGCTGATGTGGTACTTCAAGGTATGGAACTTTTTATTTCTTCCTCTGTGATGCCCATCGGAGGCAAATCTCAGCCATGGTTTGGTCACTCCTGTAAAATAGCATCATGCTAAAGCAGGAGTGCTACCAAGCCTGCGATGACGCTTCAACGTCCCAGGATGTAAGCACCAGCGCTCTAAAAAATAAGTATAATTCCGCCTCCAGGTCCTTCAAAAGAGTCGTTGCCAAGGCAAGAGCATGTGCTCTGTGCGAACTAGTTTAATTCTGCCTACATAGGCAGAATTAGTGAGAAACTAGTTCGCCCTCCTTCTGGAACTCGTGCATTCTGGTCTCTCGCTAAGGCTGTCCAGGGGAATTTCTTTTAGCCATCTCTTCCATCTCTGCACAAGGAGGACGACTCACTGGCCCATACCGCAAAGGAGAAAGCCGAACCGCTAGGCTTTCTTTGCGTCCAACTCGACTCTCGATGACGGGGGGAGTACTCGCCGACCATCCCGCGGTGTGAGTGCTGGAATTCCGGCATGGATGCCGGAATTGCAGTTTACACAGCGCTCGGTTCGCAAAAGACGAGCGGGCCCCCTAATTGTGCTGAGGACGTGTGCTCCAGAGTTGGCACCGGTTTTAACGCGCCTTTTCCGGTAATCCTACTCCCTAGGCGTAGTACCAAAATCATGGAAGACAGCTTTCGTCTACCCGATCCCTAAAAAAGGCGACCGCTCCGAACCGTCCAACTACCGGCCTATCGCCATTACCTCCTTGTTCTCCAAATCAATGGAGTCCATTGTAAACTGCCAGCTCATGAGGTACCTTGAGGAGCCACCAGCTTTCGAACGTTTTCACCGTGATCGATCAGCTGGTGATCTTCTTGTCTACCTAATTCATAGATGGATGCAGGCAGTAGAGTCCAAGGGGGAGGCATTGGCCGTTAGTTTGGACATTGCGAAGGCCTTTGATCGGGTTTGGCACAAAGCGCTTCTTTCGAAGCTCCCTTCCTATATGCTTCTCGAGAAATTATGCAATTGGATCAGCAGCTTTCTTGCAGATCGGAGCATCCAGTTCGTTGTAGATGGTGCAAGCTCCGATTACAAGCCTATTAATGCTGATGTTTCTTCGTTTTCGTTGTGTCTTTATGCCTTCGTTTTCGTTGTGCCCAGTTTTGACCTTCTTATGATATCCACATTAAATTGTGGTATATTCAAAACTCTTCGTAAATCAAAAAATGCAATTGTATCATCTGTTTAAGCTCATCCATTTCTACCTTTTGACCACTCGTGATCCGTCAGTCCATGGACCTGTTAGTCAGACCTATGGTCAAGCCAAAGAGTATAGTAGGTTTAGCCAAAGACAATTTTTTTTAAATGAAGGTAAATATAACTTAAAGTCATTACCATGTTCTTATCCAAAAATAAAAATTATCAACAATTAAAATATCGAATTATTTGTATGAAGGTCACGTGAGCGCAAAAGAAACGACTGTAAGACGTTGTTGACAAATAAGATGTTTAATGAAATAGTACAATAAAAATAGAATTTAACATTGCACGAAATTTCCGATTCAATTTTATTTTTATGAGGTTTAGGATTACTTATTCAGCATAAAATCACAAAATGCCGACAGATCCAGGTGGCGCTTCAAGCGCAATCTTGAAAAAAACGTTTTCAGCCGATATCTCGGTAACTATGCACTGTAACGCAAAAGTTATAAAAACCATTATTGTAGCAAATAAAATTTTGTATCTTTTGTTTCCAGTAAACTTTTTAGTAAAACTTACCGTTTACGATTTATGGCCTATTTAATGAACAGGTAGCGCTTCAAGCGCCATCTTGAAAAAAACGTTTTCAGCCGATATTTCGGAAACAATGCACTTTAAGGCAAAAGTTATAGAAACCATTATTGTAGAAAATAAAATTTCGCATCTTTTGTTTCTAGTAAACTTTTTGTAAAACTTACCGTTTACGATTTATGGCCTATTTAATGAACAGGTGGCGCTTCAAGCGCCATCTTGAAAGAACGTTTTCAGCTGATATCTCAGAAACTATGCACTTTAAGGCAAAAGTTATATAAACTATTATTGTAGAAAATAAAATTTCGCATCTTTTGTTTCCAGTAAACTTTTTGTAAAACTTACCGTTTACGATTTATGGCCTATTTAATGAACCAGTTTTTTCTATCGCGGCCAATAACTCTTGAAATATTAGATTAATCAATAAAATGCATAAATTTATTTTGAAAGATCAGTTTATTTTCCAAAACTTTTTTTTTTTGTAACTTTTCTTTCTAATATCCATACTTTTTTGAGCTATAGGAAGTTTCATGTCACGCATAGCTGCCCCGTCACCTGCCGAGCTCGGCCGACGCTCGGCAGGTGACGCGGTAGCTACTTTACGATTAAGAACCCGGATTTTATTGTTATTATTTCGGGGAATTCCAAGTAAGACGTCATTATTGTTTACTAACTACGACTTACGGAGTCTCCTTTTTGAAATTCGAGTTATAGATTATAAATATCTATTATCAATATTTCGTAGGGAAATAACATTTTGTTCGAGTTACAAAGTCTTATAATTCGAGATACCGCGTTCAGCGGGCGGGTTCAGCGGAAGGGAATGGCAATTTTTTTCGACTTACTGAGGATTTTAACTTAACGAGGTTTGAGTTATAGAGATTCCACTGAATATCATTACACGCATATAATTTTTTTAGTACAGCGTGTCTTTCAGCAACTTAATATTACCAAGTTTTTAAGTTTATATGTGAACTATATAACAATATAATTCTTTTAATATAATTATTTTTAAATGTTATTTATAACTTTTATAATTATATTATAATTTTTAAAGAATATAATTCTTAAAGAATTATATTCTTTAAGAATTATATTCTTTAAAAAATTATATTCTTATAAATAACATTTAAAAAAGAATCGTCCTGACCACTCTTATCTATGGTTTCGAGTAAACTTAGTGATCATATACTCTTTGGTTCTAAGGCGTAACTCTAAATATTTGTATACCTTTGGCGCGGTCTACAAGGAGACATCTAAGGCTCCAAATGGAGACTTCGGACTTTTAAGGGTCAGTCTAATCTTTTGACATTTATTTCTTAATGGAAACTATACAGTTTTTCTCGAGATGCTTTTATTATATAATTAGCCTATTGAAACTATGTATTTAATTACTCTAAGGTTGAAACCAATAAGGAATAATGTTCTTGCATATAGATGATATGCATAGAGCATAAATAATATTGATCCCTATTGGCTTGAAATATGAACAATTATTTTGTATAAGAAACTATTTTATAATATTGTCGTTTTGTGGCTAACGAAAAATCATCGTAATCTTGTACCAAAAACATTTATATATTTTATTTCCTAACGGTACGTAGCGAAATAGATTAGACTTGTACGAATATTAAATAAAGCATATTTAAAAATAACGTTAGACTTGTGTTATAGGAACAAGTGTTACTTGATTAATTTTACTTTTAATAAAGTTATAATATTATAGCATCCGCGTTTAATAAGTAGCTTATTATTATTTGTTTACGCCAATACTGCGTTAATAGGAATTTACCAAAATGAAAAACGAAACCGTGTTTTTATTTTGATGTGTAATGATAATGATATTTTTCTAGTAAATAACAGGCTCGTAAATTTCCATACAGTGAAAATGACGCTAGAAAAAGTTTGAAAAAATTATCAATCTAACCGATAGATTACAAATCTGATATAACGGTTAAAACTTCATAATAAAACATTACTAGTTTTTTTGCTTGGGCATCAATATATAATATACATAAATAATAATACAATATACAAAACTATTAGTTGGTAATTTCTTGCATTTTACCAATTTTTTTCTATTTCCATCTGCCCCTGTTTCTTTCGAGATCACTAAGTACTCAGCTAACAATAATTGGCTTTTGAATTCTCTTCAGTCCTTTTTTTAGTCGGATACGATTACATCACTGGTTAAAGTTACTGGCGATGATATCCGACGAGCAATGGATATTAAAAGTTCACTGTATTGGTATTATTCAATTTTCTGTCGCATTCTAATAACTTATCTCTATCAGTTGTTGATTGGTTTCAAAGTTTTAAAAAATCTTAGAGGTCAACGGCAACGCATTCGTATCGAAGATAAGTTTTCATCGCGTAATGAATATCAAACTGGAGTGCCTCAAAGTGGTGTGTGTCTCCTTTACTCTTCAAGGTCAAAATATTTCAAGACCTTTGAAAATTTGCCTACCAATTTTTCTGCCATTAATGTTGAAAGGAGGCTATAATTATCGACTTGCTGGCATGATATTTAAAGATTCATTAGTTTAAAGTTTGTTTGAGAGAGTTCACTTTTTAGCGATAAGACCATCCTATTATACCTACATCCTATGTTTTTCATCTTGTGAACTTTTTTGTGTATTGTGGTGTAAAATAAAGCGTGTATGTATATATATTTAAACACAATCACACATAGTAAAATTGTTAAAAAATACTTACGTGAATCATGTTTAAAAGCTCACTGTTAGTGTCTGAAACAAGGGCGAATTTCGTCATGCAGTAAACGCCGTCCGGTTCACTCATACAAGGCTCATAGTCTTCAAATTGAAATACTGGCGGCATTTTGTTGTACATTTCGTCTGTGAAACAAGTTCAAAAGATTCAGTTAAAAAAAATCATTTTCCTATTCATATTCATATTCCCGCCGGTACCACTGAAGTGCTAACTTCTGCAATATTAACTTCTGATTTACCACATGCTGAGAAATAAAATATTTGGAGAAAAGTGTGAAGCTTACCAACACGCTCTGAGCAGGATGGTTGACAAATAATCATTTTAAAAGTAAGAGCGATTTGCCATTGTTATATCGAAATAGTAAAGGAAAATGGAATTTAGATTAAAATATTTTTAAATTAACAATCTGATAAATATTTGAATGTATGAAAATGCAATTTATCAGTAAAATTAGTTATTGGGCACGCATGAGCACTATTTACTAAATTTGAATTTAACGGTTTAGATTTTGCAGAAACCTTAGGTACACTATAAACGTTGGAATTAACAGTTTTATAAATACGCGTACGGCAAAATTAATACGATGTAGTAAAATGATAGGCATTTAATATAAATTGTCCGTAGTCTCAAGTGAAATCCTTCAAAATAAAGAAAAATATATACATCCTTTTCCAAAAAAAAAAAGACGTGTGGCACTCGGGGACTGCCGCGGTAAAGCTATTGCATAGCATTTGTATCAACTTATGCAATTATAATTATTTATTTATTTTATCTATGCAGTATTTCTTTTTCTTTGATATTAATTCAAGTTACTTAGGTTAATCCAATCAAATTCAACCAGATTTAACCGAACCCGCGTTATAACGAACTCACTATTTGTGAAAAATACTGTATCACCGGACCGCGTCGCAAAAAACTCAGGTTCGCGCAGTACATACGTCAGGGCGGCCGTACGGCAATTATATTAACAAGACGCGCAACTACTCAGTTCCACGTTCCACGGCAAAATTTGTCACTTTATTTATTGTCCAATTAATTGTCTTTAAGTTCAAATGGCACGCTCTATTAACATAAGTCTAAGACAAAACAAGGAGACTTTCAATATGACACCCGGCTTCGCGTTTGTGTTAGTAAAATAAGCTCTTATTAAGTTAGCTTAGAGTTTAAATTAGTGTAAGCTATACGCAATCCTTGTGGCATAATGAATGTAGGTAGTATTTTATTGACTCCCATTGTCTCGGCCGACGCGACGGTTGGACGTTGACGCTTTCTAACGATAATGAATATAATATTATAACAGTCAATGGTTCATTATTCTAATGTGTTGTAAGATTAAAAATATATAATGAAATATATTATCTGTTGTATGTTATAACGCCCAACTTTAGGGATGACCGACCGCGCGCACAAATGCAGCTAGCCTCCCCCCTCCCGCACCTCACTAATCGTCGCTTCACACCGCTTGAGATAAGACGATCTACTATCAGGCGCTAACAAACCCCCGTCCCGGACATAAGGACCTATGTCCGCGAGTAAATTGGCAATTAGAAGACGCTTTGTATTGTTGGTTTTTACAAAAACGATCAACTGGGCAAATGATATCTGGCCCTTTGCTTTGTGAAAAAGCATTACAGTTAAATAAAAAATTAGGTGACGGCGGCTCGTTTGTCGCAAGTAACGGATGGTTATATAGATTTAATCAATGTTTATTAAAAAATAATAATTTCTTAATAAACACTGATTTTCGTTGAAGTTGTTGTTTTTAATAAACACATAACATTATGTATGTACATATGTACTACAAATGCACAAAACCCGCTTTTCTTCATACATTCGTTCATCCGGATTTTCGATTATCCGAATCCCTAGCGGCAACAATTAGTCCGGTTAATCGAGTATATATATACATATTGAGAATTTAAACTATAAGCGTGTGTGTGTTTGTGTGTATATAAAGATTGCTACTTTTAATATCGCTCATTTTAATATCAAAAATTTAGGTTATCTTTATAGCAGTATTATATTTTCAATTCAAAATTAGTACTGCATTTGTTATAATAATAAAATGTAGGTATGTATATAGAGTACTCACTCATTTTCTTTCACTATTTTTTCGTGACTTTCTTCATTAATAATAAATGCACTTTGTTCATTCATATTCAAAATTTCAAAACACTTTATACACAAACACCGTGTCGAAGACTGAGGAAAAGAAACGACGTTAGACCATCGTTAGACAATGCACAGCCTTCAAGCCACACCTCCGTGCCCGTCGGAGAGCGTGAGGTTTTTTTCGTTACGAAATTTCTGGATTTTCCCGCACTCAAGGCCCGCGATAGAAGCTATGCAATAGCTTAAAAATTAATGAATAACCATGAAGTTATATTGAGATTCGTAGATTCATTTTAGTTTTTATCATGTAAATTAGAAGAATTAGCCAAAAATCTCAGTCATGATCAATTTCAAGAATTACGTAGAATTGATATGATAAAGATTCCATTCGTTTAAAACGGACAGGGGTTTATTCATATGAATTTACCACTTATTATGATAGTTTAAACCTAACGTCACTCCCCGAACAAAAAAATTTTATAGCTCGCTCACAGATTCCTATATTTCAAACGATGATTACAATCATGCTAAAGAAGTTTGGGAACACTTTAAATTTTGTAATATGCTAGATTATTCAAACTTGTATATAAAAAACAGACGTTTTACTTTTATCCGACGTATTTGAAAACTTTAGAAAGCTATGTGTTAATATTTATGGTTTAGATACTGCCCATTATTACACAGCCCCCGGTTTAAGTTGGAATGCAATGCTAAAATACACAAAAATAGAATTAGAACTTTTAACAGATTATGAGAAAATTGCATTTATTAGATCAGCTATCAGGGGTAGTGTATCTCAATGTAGTAATCGTTATGCTAGAGCTAATAACAAATACATATGGGATTATGATGTAGGGAAACCAAATTCATATATCACATATTTTGATGCCAACAATCTATATGGTTGGGCTTTGTCTCAATATCTTATACTGGTGAATTTGAAATGATAAATTCGAACACAGATTATAATGGGTCTGAGACATCGGGAGTCGGTTTTAGTTAAGAAGTTGATTTGGAATATCCAGATGAACTTCATGATTTACATTCGGACTTTCCTTTATGCCCAGAAAACATTTGTATAGGCAACACTAATGAGAATGAACTAGTCCCAAATTTAAATTATAAAGATAAATTTGTAATTCATTACAGAAATTTAAAGTAGTGCATAGAAATGGGGATAAATAAACTAAAATGCATGGAGTTTTAAAATTTAAACAGTCCCTGGTTGAAAATGTACATAGATCTAAATACAAAATTAAGAACGTTAGCAAAATGTGATTTTGAAAAACATTTTTATAAATTAATGAATAATTCAGTCTTCGGTAAGAATATGGAGAATATTGGAAAAAGGGTTAATGTAAAATTAGTTACACACTGGGAGAACCAGGATAAAGCTTTAGGTGCTCAAGATCTAATCGCTAAACCACAATTTCATAGTCTTTCAGTATTTTCGGAAAACCTAGTTGCGGTTCATTTGCAAAAAACGAACAATTATAACAAACCAATTCATTTAGGATTTTGTATTTTAGATATTTCAAAAATATTAATGTATAATTTTCATTATAACTATATGATTAAAAATTTTAGTAAAGTCAAACTATTGTATACAGATACGAATAGTTTTATATATCATATATTTACAGATGATTTCTACACTAATATAAAACCTGATCTTTCCTTATACTTTGTGTTGGCAACTTTGTGGAGCGAGCGCCATCTGTTTTGGCGGACGGAACTGCAGGCGCCGCCTAGCTAGCCGTGACGTCGGCATCAGGCCACGACGACTGCACGTGGTGGGGATGAGACGGGCTGGCGGACGGTTCGCTGAGTGCACCCGGCGACTTACTTGCGGACCGTGCGACGGAACAGTCATCTCTAGCTCCATTATTTGGAAATAAATTATTAATTATTTATTTTGTTAAATCAGTGGCAGATTATTATTATTTACTTTGTTAAAAGGTTTTGTTTTAATATAAATGTGTGCTGAGAATTAACCTAATAGTTTAACTTATTGCTCCAAAGTAGTTACAGTGTTTAACCTTTAAAATACCCACAACTACACATTAAGATATTGATAACTGAGTAATAATATTATTACGTTGTTAACATCAGAAGTGGGATCTACGCGCCATGGGCAAACGCAGGCACTATCGCAGGCGAGCACAATCGTCAAGTAGCAGTAGTACAACGAGTACAAGCTCCAGAACGCCGTCACCTCCGCCCAGAAGGAAGTCAAAGGTATCGCGTCATAAAGATACCAAAGCTGTGAGTACCTTAAACAATATTATACCGGAGTTTGACCCTTTAAATGATGATATAAATGCATGGCTTAATATTATACAATCCTATGCGGCAACGTTCGATTGGACCGACGAAACGATACGTTATCAAGCTCTTAATAAGTTGAAAGGCTCTGGTAAAGTCTGGTATGACTCGTTGTTGCGCACTGATAGTCAGTGGCCTACATGGAACTGGAGTGATTGGAATCGGCGTCTGGCTAGTAGTTTCCAAACACGACGTAACATGTTTGAATTATTAAAAGAAATAATAAATAAAAAACCTGTAGAAAACCAATCACTATACGAATTTTATTTTGATATTAAATGTAAAGTCGATAGATTATCTTTAAACTTTACTGAGCAAGATATTATATCTATAATTGTCGGTAGCATAGGCGACAGTAATATAGGAGCATCTATTGAGGCGAGTAATTTTAAATCTTGCCATGATTTAGCTAGTTACCTTCATGGCCGTACCTACAAAGGCAGAAACTCAAAACAAACCAGTTCGGGTAGTACACGTGAAAACCAACACAAAACAATGGATCAAACGAATAATGCTAGCCTGCCGTCCATGAATGTTACCTCTTCAAACATTAATGCCAATTCCCATAATGCGTATGGAAGTAACCAAACCGGCTCAGCAAATATTCAGAAACCTATTAAATGTTACACTTGCGGTGGAAACCATAAAAGAAACCAGTGTGAGCTCATTAAATGTAATTTTTGTAAAA